CTTCCTCTGAATGCTCTACAGAAAAAATCCTTCCTTGCCTCTTCTAGCTTGTGGAAGTGTCACTTTAAGCTCTGCCTCTGTCTTCACATAAGTCATCACACAGCTTTCTCTCCCACATTTTCTTTTCTACTCTTAGCAGAGCACCTGTCATTGGGATGAAACAAGGTCATATGCACAGTCTGTGGGTAGACATATATTTTGATACATACCATCCAGTCCATTACAGTAGGTATAGATTGATCCAACTACACTGACCCGGCTTCTATTATGCCTGCCTGAACAACAACAAGGATGCATAGAGGGCAGTATTGGAGGGAAAATAAGGAAGGCATGGTATAAGAAACTACGTGAAGGGGGCCAAGCAGGTCTCATTGACTGAAAATGCAGGAGTGAGGCATGGGAAGGGATACATCAAAGCTGGCCTGGCGCTCAGGAAGCTAAGCTGCAGCTAGGGGGATAATGGGCTCTGCTTGAGCAGAACATGAGACTAACAGATCCCCTCTGCCTCCCTTTCCCCGCAAGTTTAGGGCACCTCTGGATTTTCTGACATGTCCTCACATTTCTATACAATTCATTAGCCTATGATGCTTCCCTAGAGGATGATAAACCAGAGTCAACTGCAAACTGAGAGAACAGCAGTTTAAAACTGTTGATTTGCTATGATTTATGTTAGTACGTGGCTGGGATGGGCTGAGTGGTTGGCACAAAGGGAAGCTCATCCCAAATAGTTGAAGCCTTTTGACATAAAGCTCATCTATCTATTTGCAAAAATAAAAATTAAAAAAAAAAAACGACAAAAAACCCACCAATTCCGTAGTCCCCAAGTACAATGGTGCACATGGGAGTGCTGAACTTCTCCTTCCAAGGTTAGACCTCCATCAGATGAAGCAGTTTTGACCCTTGATAATGAAATTTTCTTAGTAGCATTTTTTGTGATAGATTCAGCCTTTATAATTTATCCAACACTGTATTTTTTAAAATAATAATCTATGTAGTCTGAACTCAAAAGACAGATTCAAGGCATAGACCCTGGCAGAGAGGAAACTTTTTATATACCCTTGCTCCTTGTCTTTTAGAAGCAAACAGACTGTAACTACAAATGACCCAAATACAGAATCCACTGCAGGAATAAGAGCCTTTTCTGGGGCCAGTGTTGTGGCAGAGTGGGTTAAGCCATTGCTTTAGACCCTGGCATCCCATGTGGGTGTGGGTTCCAGCACTTGCTGCTCCATACAGCTCCCTGCTCATGTACCTGGAATACAGCAGAGGTGTCTCAAGTGCTTGGGCCCCTGCAACCCATGTGTAAGACCTGGATGAGAGAACCAGCAAATGCAAGATATTTTCTCGATTTCTCTATTTATCTCTCTCTCTCCTTCTTTCTCTCTCTCCCTCTGTTTCAAATAATAAATATTTTTCTTTAAGATTTTTTTTATTTTTATTGGAAAGACAGATGTACAGACAGGAGGAGAGATAGAGAGAAAGATCTTCCATCCTCTGGTATTCCCTAAATGACTACAATGGCTTGAGCTGAGCCAGTCCAAAGCCGGAGCCTCTTCTGGGTGTCCCACGTGGGTGCAGGATCCCAAGACCTTAGGCCGTCCCTGACTGCCTTCTCAGGCCACAAGCAGGGAGCTGGACAGGAAGTGGTCAAATATACTTTGGGAATTTCAGTATTAAAATTCTTTGCCAGGAAAAATATCCAGCACATCAGTGTCTCCTATGCATCTCTTAGAAGAGGCTGTAGTCCTTTCTTCTTTTTAACGTGGATTCCTTTTGGCAGAGTTTTGCTTGCTTTTTGCTACTTGGTATAACAGGAAACACTCCCGGAGCAACAGTAACTCTCTTGTATTAGTAGTAGTTTCCATACCAGCTTGACAATAGAAGCTCTTTCCTTGAGTATTTGTTGTAAATCCTGGAACTAGTGGTCAGATTTCAGGGATGCATAGTGATACTTCCCACCATGCCCCTCTCTCCTGCCCACATTCTCCACCCACCTTCCTCCTCTTTTTTAAAATTCTTACAGTGCATATGTTCAGTTCACTTCAGGGCCATTGGCTTAGCACCCTATGAGATAAATAATTTAATAACTAGTTAGTAAGGAGGGGCGGGAATCTACTATTCCTGGGAGTATAGACAAAGGCTGTAAAACATAATCAAATCTCAAAATGTCAATTTCACTCACCTAGATTACATTGTGGTACTCTGTGTATTTCTTGCCAAAGGTCAGGGAAAGTAGGATATTTGTCTTTTGGGTACCACTTTTTTTCAACGATCATAATGATTTCCAATCGCGCCCATTTTGTTACTTAAGACAGTATTTCATTCTTTTTTTATGGCTAAGGGATATTCCATAGTGTATATAGACCATATATGGTCATCTGTGGATGGATATACGGGTTGATTTTGCATGCTGCTATGGAGTGGGTGGCTAGGTCATATGATAGATCTATTTTCAGATATCTGAGGAATCTCCATTCTGTCTACCAAAATGGTCAAACAAGCTTACATTCCCATCAAAGTGGATTAAGGTACTTTTTTCACAATCCGCATTAGCACTTATTGTTGTCATTGTTGTTTTGGATGATAACCATTCTAACTGGGGTAAAGTTAAATCTCTGAAAATTGTTCTTGTCCTTTGCCCATTTCTTAACTTATTGCTATTTATGCTGTTGTTGAGTTTCTTAAGCTCTATATAGATCCTGGGTATTAATCCTCTGTCAGTTGCTCAGTTTGCAAGTATTCTTTCCCACTCTGTTGGTGGTTTCCTTATTTTGTAGATGGTTTTCCCTATACTTTGGAAGCTTCTTACTTGATATAATCCCATTAGCTTATTTTTGCTTTAGCTGCCTGTGTTTCTGAGTCCTTTTCCAAAATGTCTTTGCTTATACCTATATCTTGAAGAGTTTTCCTAATGTTTTTCTCTAATAATGTGATGCTATAAGATCACAGATTTAGGCTCTTGATCCATTTTGAACTGATTTTTGTCTAAGTTGTAATGTAGGGATCTTGTTGTGCACTTCTGAATACATAGATCCAATTTTCTCAGAACCATTTGTTGAAGAGACTATCTTTTCTCCCCAGATTTTGGTTAGCTTTTCAAAAATTAGTTGGCTATAGATATGTGGATTAATTTCAGGATTTCTATTCTGTTCTGTTACTCTTCATTGCTATTTTTATGCCAGTACCAACCTGTGTTGGTTACAACTGTCCCGAATTATATCTTGAAGTCTGATATTGTGATGTCTCCAGTTTTGTTTTGTTGTTGTTGTCCAAGATTGCTGTACAGAATGATGGACTTGTGACTATTGCTGAAGGACTATACTATTGTAATAACATAGGAAACAATGGTGGGGGAGGGAGATGGGGAGGATAAAAGGGAGATGGGGAGGAAATCCCTGAGCCTACAGAATGGTATCGTGGAAAATAAATTTTAAAAAAATTTAGAAGAAACAAATAAAAAATGCTTCTGCTATTCAGAGTCTCTTGTGGTTCCTTGTGAATTTTAGACTCATTTTTCTAGAAATGAGGTACAGATTTAATATTACCAAAATATCTATACTACTGAAAGCAATTTAGGATTCTTCGTGATCCCAATCAAAGTACCCATAACATTCCTGTCAGACACATTGTTCTTAGTGCTGCTGGGTTGATGACTGGAGCCCAGGAGGCCAGGAGGCCAGAAAGGCAGTCAGAAGTAGAGGCCAGCAGCCATGCCAGAGCTTCAAAAAGCAGAAGTAACATGGAGGAAAGGTTTCGGAGCAAAGGGGGAGAATTGAGTGGTTAGGATGGCATGAGGGAGAAGGAATGAAGATGCCCAGGAGAGCAGCTGGTATGGAAACCACATGAGCCAGGTGGCCTCTCCCCAGGCAGAAGGCTGGTTTTGCTGGAGCAAAACCATCTAGAAAGATCTGAAAGGAGGTGCAGGCTCAGGTCCAGAGCTTAGAAAAAAAGTCAGGGTGTAGACACCAATGTACGAGTCGAAACCGTTCCTTAATAGACAATGAAATGAGGCAAATGCACAATAATAAAGTCATTTTGAATTACATGATAGAAAAAAAAAGCATCTTTCTACATGGTCAATTTACACAGTGACAAAATACATCCAGACAACTTGTAAATTCTTTCCTTACCACACTGTATTCTAGAGGCACACCTGAAACCTCAAGTGCATCAAGTCGGTGCAAGGTATCTCTTGGAAGTCTTCATCACATGCCCATTCACGTGTGAGCCAGAAACAGACCCAGGCCCTGGGGCATAAAGCTGCAAACCCCACTCTCATAGAGATGTTTGCTTACTTGTCCTGCCAGACAGGAGCATCAAGCTGCAAGTTGGAAGGGAACTCTTGTGTGTGGCAGGGTGGGAGGGCAGTACTTGGCACTTAAGGTAAGATGTCACTTGAGAGAGACATACTTCTTATTGTAAGACTTGGATTCAAGCCCCACCTCCATATCTGACCCCAACTTCCTGCAACTGCACATCCTGGGAGGCAGCATGTGATGGGTTAAAGTCCTTACCATGCGCATGGAAGACCCAGTGAGCTCCTGGCTCCTGGCTGCAGCCTGGCTTAGCCCACTGTTGCAGGCATTTGACGAGTAGATCAGAGAAAGGAAGATCTTGTCTGTCTCATTCTCTCTGCCCTTAAAAAATTAAGAGAGGAGGGCCCGGCGTGGTGGCACAGTGGTTAAAGTCCTTGCCTTGCACACCCAGGATCCCATATGGGCCCGGCGCCGGTTCTAATCCCGGCAGCCCCGCTTCCCTTCCAGCTCCCCGCTTGTGGCCTGGGGAAGCAGTCGACGACCCAAAGCTTTGGGAACCTGCACCCGCGTGGGAGACCCTGAAGAGGCTCCTGGCTTCAGATCGGCAGAGCATCGGCCGTTGCGCTCACTTGGGGAGTGAATCATCGGACGGAAGATCTTCCTCTCTGTCTCTCCTCTCTGTATATCTGCCTTTCCAATAAAAGTAAAATAAATCTTTAAAAAAAAATTAAGAGAGGAGTAAAAATGAAACCGAGACAAGGAGCCAGTCAGTCTAGAAGGTCAAGGTAGGTTTCTCTGTGGAAATAACCCAGGAATGTGAGTCACGAATACCAAGACAGCAGTGATGTTCTGAGGAAGAAGACACAGACCTGCCAGGGCTGGTGGGAAGGGGGCAGGAGTAGACCGTCTCAAGACCAGGGGAGACTCCCTGGCCCAAGTGCAGAAAGCAGGGGCAGGGGAAAGCTGTCACGGAGCCTTGGAGGAGGGAAAAAAAATCACAGGAAAATGTGTGAAAGTGCATGAATCGCCCAAAAAACAACGTGAAGTTAATTAAATAAGTGTGTGTATCAGTGATGTTTTATGATAGTAAATGAAGTCAATGAATTTTAACAAAATTAACCCAATTTAAATTAACATAATCACTTCCTAGAAAATGCCTGAACAGAGAGAGTCTAAATTACACGGGAGTTCAATAAATATTACTGGACTAGGAGTTGGTGTTGCTGAGTCCTGCTCTTCCTTCCCTGGACACTGGTTTGACAAACTCAGCTCACATCGCGGAACTTCCAGAATATCATCCAGCTCTCAGTTTAAATATCGTAAGCGCCTCCCATCTACGCGGCTAAAACTGAATGCAGATGAGAGGGGAACTGGTGGCGTTTGACCAAGGTCACTGTCAACGTGGGAGAGCTACCCCATGTTCTCCTCTTGGGGGCATCTCCTCTGCCCTAGGATTCCACCCCTGCAAAAGAAAACTCTTCTATTAAAAAAAGAAGAAGTAGTTGAATTACTTTACATGCAGATTTTTTTAACCCCAATGGAAATGCAAAGAGAGATTCAGAATTATATGTGAGGCGTTAATTACTTAAATCTGACTGGGTGCTTGTTTCTATGAATGAATGCACTTAATTAATTTTTCCCCTAGCTTCTTGCTATTTCCCAGATATAATCTATTTTCTTTCATCCCAGGGGCAATGGAAGGACGACAAAAGAAGGAACCAGTGATTTGAAATTCCAGAACTTCGCTCTGCCGAAAAATAGGTCAGAAGATTTACTTGTTTATTAATAGAAGGGGGTGGGACGCTGGCTCTGTGGCAAGCCAGCTGACCATCACACATGCAGAAACTGTGGGCTGGAATTATGGCAGTGGGAGTGACCCCAGAGGCCGTGCTGAGACCAAAGGGCGGAGAAAGGGCTTGCTGTGGGTTGAGACTCCCTGCCTCCACAGCCCTGCAGGTGAGGCACCTCACCAGACCTCCCAGCCAGAAAAGGAGGCTCCAGGCTCCTGCCAGTGCATTTTAGGATGCCCTGGGGATCATATCACCAGTCTGTGTCAGGGACTCACAGCAAACAGACAAGGTAGAGCCAAAGGCTTCCAGCCTTCCCTTCCTCGGTGCTTTGATTGGGAAAAACGCTGAACATTTATGGCATCAAGACTAGAAGAGGCCCCTGAAGATGCTGGGACAAGAGACAGAGCTTTGCCCTCAGAGGCTCACAGACCAGGCAAAAAGCTCAGTGACAAGTGCTAACGTGACAAAATTCCCACCAAGGGAGTCAAGCAGACATTAGCCCTGTCTGCTCTGTCCCTCTGCAGACTGACACAGAGCAGCATCCTGCACCTAGCAGGCACCCTTTCACACCTGCCTGGGTGGACTCCTGGGCTGGTGAGTGAGGGCCCAAGGGTTTCCATAATGATGCTAATTCTCCCATCCCAATTTAGTTCAACTCAACCCAGCCCACTAAATGTCCTTCAGTTCCTTCTCCGTGAGCCACCACAAGCAGGCTCGGATTTAAGATGTGCACAGAACATGCTTTCCCTGACTCCCACGTAACTGAACACTCGGGGAATTTTTCAAAACCACTTTAAGCAAAGGAAAATTTGTGGCTGTTCTCAGACTTCTTTAATGTTTACATTAAATGCATTTGAATAACACATTTTAAGTCCATTTCTCTTATTTCTTGACAATAGCGAAACCGGGAGATGGAAGCATTAGGAGCTTTCCTTCAAGTGCAGAGGACTGCAGCAATTACATGCATCAAAGTAATATTTACAGTTGCATGGTGGGGGGACAGAGAGAAAAGAGCAGAGCTTTTTTTCTGAAGCAAATTATTTCAGGATGTGTCATAGCACGCTCAGGATATATTAAAAAGAGCAACAGACGATGTTTGTGCAGCCTGTTCCAAACCATTTATAAACCCAAGCTTAAAAAAAACCCATATACATACAAATCTCTGTACCTCTGCATATTTTATAATGGGAGTATTATATGAATATAAATTAGTATTTGAGATATGTAAATCAAATCCAATGTCTGAAAGCTACATATCGAGCCGGCTGTCTTGTTTTAATAATCATTACACACATGTATTCCCTCCTCCATAGAAATGACAATGGCCAGCATTCGATGCTGAGCATAAGGGGAAGCCACTGCCGAGCAGGCTGAGGTGCAGAGTGAGCCCACTGGACCTAGGTTGGAATTGGGAGGTCTTTCCATTACAGTTTATTGTGACTTTTAGAAATGGCAGGTGAAATTTTTTGTCCATCACAGAATCTCCTGGACCTAGAGTTTGGAAACAAAGAGCTCTGTGGGCTCCCTGGGCCAACACAGCTCCTTAATAAATCATAGAGGCCAAAGGTCTGAGCACTCACTATGTGTTAGGCACATTCCACCTGCCTGTGGATGTTCTCACAGGATGTTCTCACTGTAGCCATCCTACTTTTTAAGACAGATGAATACAGCCCTTGAGGCTAATAGAGAGTCACAGCAAGTAAAGGTAGACATATTATTATTCCTCACACTGTTGCATGTGGGGGTCAACACACTCAACAAGCACAAAGTGGCTGTCCATCCTCTGCCAGCCGCCCCAAGCTGAGCTCATGATTCCTCATTAACAAGGCTAAATTTCACTGTGGGTTTTGGAGTAGACAAACAATTCTCAGGTCATGCATGTGTGTGCTCATGCATGTGTAAGAGTGCATGTATATACATGTGTGCATGAGTTTGTACATGTGTGTATGTGAGTGGCACTTTCTATTTCTTTTTAAAAATATTCATTCATTTATTTGAAAGTCAGATTTACAGGGAGAGATAGATCGGCCATCTGCTGATTCACTCCCTAGGTTGCTGCAACAACCTAGACTGAACCAGGCCAAAACCAGGAGCTGCGTGCTTCATTTGGTTCTCCGAAGTGGGCATCTTCTGCTACTTTTCCCGCGCCAATAGCAGGGAGCTGGGTTGGAGTAGAGCTGCCAGGACACGGACTGGTGTCCATAGCAGATGTCCAGGGTTACAGGAACCAACTTTCCTGGCCATGACTTCCCTCATGAAGAAGAGGGAGGTGAACTGAGGCTCTGGGAGACACATCTGCACATTGGGATAAATAAAAGCAAAGCTTGTTCTAGGGGCTGGGCTTGGGACCAGCAGAGTCTGTATCCCCTGTGGTCTTAGAAACGTGTCAGAAAGAGGAGTGTGGGAGCACAGCTCCTGCATGTCAGAAGCTTTCCCAGAAAGCCTAATGCTTGCTTTAGGGGCCTGAGAATCTTGGCTAGGAGCATTGTCCCCCAGAGTGAAAGCTTTGGAATTGGAGTAAGAGACCTAGGGCTCCAGTCCTAATCTGTGCCTGCCCACCGAGAAGTAAGAGAACAGAAAGAAAAATCATGAGAGAAAAAGGAGGGCACAGGAGACCCAATACTTGTCTCTTTGAGAAGAGGACTAGCCCTTAAATGGTTAATCTGTGGGAAGCCCTGAGAACACCACAGCTGAACAGACATAGCCCCACCAGCAGGACACTCAGTGTATGGTAGAGTGGGACAGCAGGGTGAGCCATTTGCCACACACTGCCTCTCTAGGAACAGCTGAGTGAGTGGCAGAGCCAAGACTCCTTTCTAAGCCTTCAATTCCCACAAGGATCTATCTCCCTTTTCTCTCCCTTCTCACTGACAGTATTGGTCCTAACAGTGTCCTTCACACTTGCTACATGCAGATCCTTCCCACTCATCACCACTTGCTCTATGGATTTTATCTTTCCTCTCCCTTAAGCACCTGCACTAACAGTTCACTCCAGGGGAACAGAGTGCAGGTGGCTGTAATTTCTCAGGGCACAGGAGAGCCAAGTCCTCACCCCAGAGAAGGAAACCTTCTTCTATTGCATGCACTAGGAGGCCCCCTACTGGGCCTCAAGAGCCAGGCAAGCCCAGGAACTGTGAGCCTGCTGCCTGCTTGCTTCTCCCCTTGATTTTGTGTCACCTGCTCCCAGCTTTCACAGGATTGCATTCAACCAAGAGCAGTGAGGCACTGGCTCGTTCTGCTCCACCTCACTGTGCTTAGAGCGAGGAGTGCTGGAAGATCGCAGTAGCCAAGAGATTTGCAGGTCCAACATTCTTTGGCAGGGCATGTATGCAATGTGGAGTCCAGACAGCTTTCCCACGGTCAGCCACAGGGGGCACATCCCTACCCAATGCCCCATAGATATTTGCTGAAGGATGGGGAGGAAAAAGATGGGAAGTCTGGGGGGCAGTCAAGATCCACTAGTTTTATGGTGTTGATACACTAGGACGCTGCTTGATTCAAAGCCAGCCATGCCACATGCTTGATACTTCAGCAGGTGACAAAATGAAGCAAGTGGGAGAAGGCTAGGGGGAAGAAGAGATGGAGGAGACCAAAGCGGGAGGGCTTGAAAAAGATGGAGGGATGTGGGACATGGGCGGTATTCTGCTTGGAAGAGGAAGGTTTTACCTAACTCCGGCATGGTGGCTCAGCCTGCCACTCTCGTTTGTTTGCCGTAGAACCCATCACAATGTCTGACGTTTTTGTTTTCAATGATCAGTATTGGCTAGAGACATCGGTAGCTAATGTGAAAGACCATAGCCTACAATGACCCTACTGGCTTAAAGAACTGAAAACCTAGTTAAGGAATGAAAGAAATGAATCAATAGTCAGACGCTACCTGCCAGCTTTACAAAGTATATCGTGAGCAGTGCAAAGCAGGGAGGTGTCCAGAGGGGCTGGGAGGGCAGCTTCCTGAGGAGGCAGCGGGCAGGGATCTGGGGTGAGCTTATGACAGTTCTGCGTGGCAGTAGACACCTCCAGGGTTTTCTCCCCAGGGTCCCGTCAAGGAGTTGCAAGACCCAAATATCTTTTATAAAAAGATAAGAGGAGGATTCTGGAAGCTAATTAGGGATGTTTTTGAGGCATAATGAACCTATTTATTCACTAATCAAATATGAGCCTTGACTCAATCCCACCTGGAGGTGAGTTTCAGCTTTTCAAAGTCATGTGGGACTGGGAGATGCTCTCTGATCTGCAGTCTGTGATGAAACAAGAAACTTGTTCCCGGGGGCTTTTAAGAGGCATTGTGCGTGCAGGTGGAGCATTGTGAGTGCACATCCTATTGTGTGGCGGCCATTGTTGGCCTCATTGGAATAGGACTGGCGTGTAAAGAGCCAGCCTTCATTGACAATGCAGCTTGAAGCAATTGGCCTCCTGGGAGCTGTGCGTGTGGACATAACACTCATTCACTCACCATCCACGCAGTCCTGCTCATGTAATAGCAGTATAGACAACACTGCAGGCACTGAATTGGCACCAAGTTTCCTATTTAGGATCCAAGAGCCCAGTCCAGGGGGCCTGAACACCCAAGTTGCTATCTATTCCAGTGAGGCAATGTGAGTTACACGGGAAACCGTTGGAGGCACACCCGGGTGGTGGTTGGAGAGCTTTGTTGGCCATGTGGGAAGCAAGGAGAACTCTCCCTGCCCAGCTATCATTCTCATGTTCCTGGACTCTAGAAACCTCGGTACTTCCCTCTCTAATTAGCCTTTGGTGCCCCTATATCACTTTTCTGAGACAGCTGTTTGTATCTTGTGCCCACTTACCTTAAGGATCTACACTGTCTGCTAGTTTACCCCTCACGTTCTCTCTGCCCTGAGCACCCTGTGCATGTCCAAACCTTAGCCTCACAGCTCCCTGACACCAACTGTCTACCTCTAAGGCATGGAGAGGGAGAATGGCGCACCTGGTTACCACAGACAGCAGGACACCTACACTATGTGATCCAGTAGGATCCTCACAGTCAACCCATCCTCAAAGGGGAAGAAATCCTTCTGGTCTTACTTGGCACTGGGATATTATAAGACTCCCAACACTGAAATAAACATGATATCCACCAAGAATTGTCGTAAGCTTTTGGCAAAATCATTGTTGCATAGAGTTCAATTCCTGCCTGACACAGGGCAAGCATTCAGACAGAGGGGAAAAGGCTATGAATTGAGTCACTTCAGATTTCTGCTCATTTCTGTCTAGTTTAACAGCTCCAAGAAGGATCGGTTGTCTTTCAAAAGCTAGTGGATTTTTTCAGGAGTAACTTCTCATTTCCAAGCAGAACCTAAAATGAAAAGTAAAGTTGAGCAGATCAATCTTGGAAGTTTCAGAAGGCAGAATGCTGGTGGTGTGAAATCACCCAGTCATTCGCCAAGGGTGTGCTGCCGACTCCTGGGACTTCCCACACTGCGCTCAAGGGAGCAATGAGTTACTAGTCTTCATACAAGGAGCTTGACCCTGGAGACAGGACCAAGTGCCATCTCTGTGGACTGGAACAACACACAGCCAAACTCTGTTTCCATGGATAAGGTGGACGCCAGCACCCATGGCTGCCGCACCAGACCCAGTCCTGCCAGGCAGCACAAGCATGAGTCGGGGCTAGAAACAGGAGTTGAATTTCATTATAGTTACTAAATGTATTAAAATTTTTTAAGTGTTAAAATAACTCAGAATTAAAACTCTGTAAAGATCCTTAAGTATTGAAGACAACAGATCTCGGAAGATCAGCCTTGTTCACTTTATCTCCCGTGAATGCTGACACTCGCCTTACACACTAAACAAAGAGTCAGAAAAGCCTGCTGCTGCACTCAAGCCCAGGTTAGAGAGGGTCAAGGGAGAGAGCGCAGAGTGGCTGCCATGTGGGTCACTCAACATGGTCATGCCATTGGCACTGCTGGCAAAAGGAAACCAGAGCCTCCTGGCAAGAGGCGGCATGCAAACTCCCCAACGTGCCGGGCGCACAGAGAGCTCGCCAGCTTTCCATGAAGTTTGCTAGCAGCCTCATGCATTCATCACCTGAGCTGTCAAGCTGCAAAGAGTGCCAACAGGAGTCTTTTCAGATAGCTTGTCAGTGGCTGGTGTCAAGAAGGCGTGTGCGCCCCAGTCAGACAAAACTGTGGCATCCTGGACACTCCCAAGAAACTCCCTCCTGCCCTGGCCCCTGGGATGGTTGCTCCAGCAGACCCCTCCTCCCTCCCCACTCTGTTTCCCAGGCTCCCTAGCTCCTAGCTGGGGCTCAGCTGGAATAACAACAGCACTCCCTGTTTTGTTGGTGCTTCCTCTGCTAATTCACTTGGCTTGCACTGACGCATGGAGAGCCCTGGGGTGCATAATCCCCCAGGATATGACATCTGAATGAGCAGGGAGACAGAGCTGAGAGCATCAGCCACTTTCAGACAGCCTTGGCCATGGGGAGGAAGCTAAGCTCTGGGCACACAGCACACTGCAGTCTAACTTGCTGCTGCTGGCTTCTACAAAACCAGGCATTAGGAGTCGGGCAAATGCTGGTTCTGCCGATCCTTGCTGGGCTACTTCAAGAGGAGAGGAGCGGGAGTGGAGGGGGATGGCAATGTTAACTCTTCTAAACTTTGTTTGCATCTGCAAAGTGCAGCTGGAAATGCACAACAGGTGCATTGTGGCTTTGGACAAAATGTTCAAAACTCCCTCTGCTGGCTGTTTTGAAATATACAATACCTTATTGTTGACCTACTCACCCTACCATGTCCTCAAACAGCACTACCATCTCCTCCTGACTAACTGGAGCTGGCACCCCTGGACAACCTCTCCCATGCCTCCATCCTGTGACAACCACTGTTCTAATTCTATCAGGTCTGCACTTCTGCTCTGTATCTCATCAATTTGCACAATTACTGTATGCCCATTCAAAATAAAGTGTGGACACACCCATTTAGCCTAGCCATTAAGATGCCCTAGCCCAACATCAAAGAGCCCAGGTTTGACTCCCAGTTCCAGCTTCAGTCTAGCTTTCTGTTCATGGGCCCCTGAGGAGGCAGCAAGTAATGGCTCTAACATTTGGCCCCTTATCACACATGGAATACAGCCAGCTTGAGTTCCCAGCCCCCAGCTTTGGTCCTGGCCCAGGCCTAGCTCTTAGAGCATTTGGGGAATGAACCAGAGGTTGGCAAATCTCTTTGTCTGCTTCTGTCTTCTCTGCCTCCCACATAAATTCGTAATAATAATAATAATAATACATAAGCAAAATAAAAAATTTTAAAAACCACCCACTCACCAAAATCCCATCCAGAGCTTCTTCCCCCGCCCTTGCTGTGTTGCTGTTACTATAAGCATGTGTGTAATACCGCACACTGTCTGCTTAAAGCCGACTTTGAAGGGTACAGTGTAGCATTGTTAACTACAGACACTGTGCTGTATAGCATCTCTCTAAGACCTGTTGACGTTCTACAACCAAAACTTGAAACACGTGCACTTGTACCTCCTCTTTCTTGCTCCCCCAGCCCTTCCACAAGGGAAACTATTCTAGATCCAGCATAAATGTAGTGTGATACAGTATGCATGCACGGTTGGATATAAACTTACCTCAAAAAGCATCCATTGTACATGTTAAGTATGTACAGAGTTCTGAGTTAAAATAAATCTTTTTATAATGCTGAATTTTAAAAAGAAATTGCAAAAAATAAATTTAAATGGATTGAACTGGTCCATTTAAAAAAAAAACTGTCGGGCCCAGCGCGGAGGCACAAGTGGTTAAGGTCCTCGCCTTGCACGCCCGGGATCCCATATGGGCGCTGGTTCTATCCCGGCAGCCCCATTTCCCTCCCAGCTCCCTGCCTATGGCCCGGGAAAGCAGTCGAGGACGGCCCAAAGCTTTGGGACCCTGCACCCGTGTGGGAGACCCAGAAGAGGCTCCTAGCTTCGGATTGGCATAGCATCGGCCGTTGTGCCCACTTGAGGAGTGAATCATCGGACGGAAGATCTTCCTCTCTGTCTCTCCTCTCTGTCTCTCCTCTCTGTATATCCGCCTTTCCAATAAAAAAAAATAATAAAAATAAATCTTTAAAAAAAAAACTGTCTACCAGTCAGAACCTAGCCTCATTCAGTGCCTGGACAGGGACTTCAAACTATGTTTTCCTGATTTCCTCTTTTTAGATGAGAAACGACTCACTTCCACCTCCAGGAGCCTGAAATAGGGAATCTTCTAGCAGCTCTGGGCCCCCGTTCTCCTATTTGTAAAACTCTGGAACTGGCCCACATTATCTCCAACAAGCTTCCTAGTATTTGCAGCCGTAGGTCCTCAAGTCCAGGGGAGGCCAAGGTCGGATACTACTTTAATCCCCATGTTCCTTTAAGGTCCTGGGCAGAGTTTGCCTTATCCTGAAAACTCCCACACTCAGCCTTGCAGGATGCCTGTGTGGGACCTGCTGTCCCTAATCAACAGGACGCCTTTCTACACTTTCATTCTGCTCAGAAGCACATGTCACTTCTGTGTCCCATGCAAGGAATGGCAAGCCCAGACGCCAGGGAAGTCTTTTCGAGGTGTCAGCAGAGTCAGCTCCTCACCAGCTGATTTGTGTTGATTTCCACAGAATTTCAGGCCACCTGAGAGGATACCAACTGCTCCCCTCAAGGGGCCCTGAGAGCACAGTTGCACCTGCCACCAGAGCATGACTGGCCATGTCCTCCAGGCCCTGGGGAGGGGACAGGCAAGGCTTGGGAGACCAGAGGGGCTGCAGGTAAACCCCACACGCTTAGTGGCTTTTGGGAACAGGCAAGTTGCTTCCTTTTCTATAAACTCGGGGTTCCCAACCTAGTCACTTTGAGAATTAAAAATAGGGAAGAGAAGGCAATAGAGCAGGCAGGCAGCTGTACTCATGGGCTGTGGTTTCCTGGTTACCAACACCTCCATGTTCCAGGATTCTGTACCCAGTCCCAGCCACCAAATCAGCCTCATAAATATTTACACCCGGTGTGTGTTGCGATGTGCAATTAATTGCTCCTGTGACGCACTTGGGGAACCTCAGAGGAAAGGTGTAATGCAAGGACTGGCAGTGATTAGAGGTACAAACAAGTTGGCTCATGGCAGCACCATCCTTTGGAGCTTTCTGCGTCCTTGGGGCCTTTCAGATCCTTGCCCACAATGTAGGAAAAATATCCGTGCACAAGTACACCACTCAAGGGTGAATCCTGTGGCTATGCCAAGACCTTGCAAGTGAATGGACAAAAACGTACAGATACCCCACCAGAGAGGAAATGCAGTTAGTCCAAAACCTATCTGAAAAAAAAAAAACAATATTTCTATTTCAGGAATCATCAAGGAAGGGCAATGGGTAAAATAAGGAATGAGTGCCAGGTAGGTAAAGTGATTTGAAAGTCCGAGGTTTATCATGGTAAGAAACAATGACACAGTCATGCTTTCTATAGATAATGACAGAAAATAATATGAACCAATCCCAGCTTCCAGGAAGTGGCTGAACCAGAGGCAAGCAAGTCCACTCTGTTTGGCCATTCCAAAGTCCCATCACAGAAATATTCAGAAGAGGCCAACAGTGCAAGAAGAGACTCACATTGCAACATAATTTACAATCACAAATACTAACAAGAACCTCAGGACTCAGTATCATGTAAAACACATGTAGGATCTTATGTATTCTTTCGTAATGCATAGATGCATTTTTCCCAATGTATGTGTACAGATTCATAACATACCAATGTTCAAGAAAATCACCAAACAATATGTGTGACGTTGTTTTCTACAAGCCCCTTTGTGTTTTCTTTCTAAAGATATTGTGAATGGAAGTCTAGGGCAAGGCAGCACAAAGCAATGGCAGAGGCTGCCTGTGAAGCACCTCTCATGCAAGCAGCTGACGCTCACCCTGGCTCTTTTCCACCCTAGGTCATGGACTCGCCTCGGTGGTGGTGCCCCAGGTGAGTCATCAGCGCGGTGGGAACACCTGTACAGCCTCAAATGAAATCATTGACCTGTTCAAAACAACATCAGCTGCTAGCTCCCACCTCTCCCTCCAGTTGCTGCTGAGGCACACTGGTTTGGAAGCCAGAGTATGGGGATCCTGGCTCTGCAGGTGTTAGCTGAGGAGCCTTGCAGGAAGCATGGCTCATTCTGTGCCTGAGTTCTTCCATCTGAGAAATGGGTATTCATCTCCCAAATGCCAGTATTGTGCCTACTCTTCGAAGTTTGTTCAGCTCTATATCATAGAGTTGGTTTAAACTTCATAAAATGGGTTTCCCCAAAATAAAGTTGAGTGACTGGATGATTCAACAAGCTCATCCTATGTGGTCTGACAGCTCTTCTCAGAGCTGGTTTTTTGGTACCTAGAAGTTAAGCAAAGTTTGAGTAAAACTTGTGTTTTTCACAGAGAATAGAAAAAGCCCACGGGACATCTCTAAAAAGCTTAGCATTGGACATGATGATGGGAATGTGAAGGAAAAAAAAGTGAGAGTGGTCCAGGAAAAAGCATGAAAAGTGATTGAGTGGTGAGACCAACAGAGTCAGCAAATGAGTTGGAAAGGTTCATTACAGAACACACTGGAACACAGGACCAGCTCTCAGCAGGTGCACACAGCATTGGCAGAATGGGGCAAAGCAAGCAGTGTCAGCCTAGGCAGGACCTGAGCACCCACATAGTCTCACGGAAATGTTTTTCTGAAACTTCCCAGGAAGTTTTGACTAGGGCTATGCCATTCTGAGGGGATGCATTCAAACTGCACTCTAGTCTTTGACCTCAAACACAGTCCTCTTTGGGAGCTCACCGCCAATCCCTTCCCAACTTCCACCTGAATCCCGTCCGGAACTGAAGGTGCTTTATGACAGGGCACACCGAGGAGGAAGTATCATGTAGCCGCTGCGAGCAATGAGGCCAGGCCTCTTGGTGCCCCTCTGTATGCTGACGGTGTGTTTTCTGATTTCAAAGCAAGCAACAAAACAGTGTGTATTCTGTGATCCCACACAAATGGACTCCAAATGTTGCTGGAAAACTGGAATGAAAAGAGCACACCTTTTCCACAGACTTTTCAGAGCACTGTCACATACAGACTGCATGCCTGTACGTCGTGTGCGCATGTGCGAAGAGCTGTCTTGAACTGGTGCTCACTTTCTTTTGGCTTTGCTCGGCCTTATCATTTTTCTATCATAGCATACATTTTTATTTTTCTATGCTAAAAGAAATCTACGACCAAAAATAAAATGAATTCTTAAAAAAAGAAACACTGCAGGCCTGAAGACAGACACATTCTGTATTCAAACTTGCACAATTTGTCAATGTCAACACCTCCTCAGAGGCTGTGTGGAAGGAGCAGCTCTGTGTTTTTCCATAAAATAAACTCACAAGTTCTCCCCCCACCGAATAGTGAAATCAGAGAAGAGAGCCCTATTTAGAAAGTGAGCCCTTCTGTCTTAAATCACCACAAATATTTAAAAAAAACAAAAACAAAAAAACCTGACAAAGATAGATGCTAACTGGTTTGATTAAGCAGAAACATTTTCTTTTGTCCAGGAATATTTGAATTTTTTTAAGTTTTCTAAGGAAAGCAGTGTTGATAGTTGATGATTTTTCTCATTTTGGAAAGAAAAATTTGTGTTTTAAAAAGCAGTGAAGGGCCCGGCGCGGTGGCGCAAGTGGTTAAAGGTCCTCGCCTTGCACCCCCGGGATCCCATATGGGCGCCGGTTCTAATCCCGGCAGCCCCGCTTCCCTTCCAGCTCCCTGCTTGTGGCCTGGGAAAGCAGTCGAGGACGGCCCAAAGCTTTGGGAACCTGCACCCGTGTGGGAGACCCGGAAGAGGCTCCTGGCTTCGGATCGGCATAGTATCGGCCCGTTGCGCTCACTTGGGGAGTGAATCATCGGACGGAAGATCTTCCTCTCTGTCTCTCCTCTCTGTATATCCGCCTTTCAAATTAAAAAATAATAAAAATAAATCTAAAAAAAAAAAAAAAAAAAAAAAAAAGCAGTGAATACAGAATCTATAAGTATCCACTGCCCCCTGCTGGCCTCTTGCAGGCATCACAGCACCACATTAATTCAGCAGAGGCCGGCCCGGGCTGCTTCTCCCAAAGACGCTGGGAATATTGGTGAATAGAAACAAATCGAAAACTGACAACTGACTTGCTGGGGCAAGGTGCTCACCCCGTTCTTGTAAACACAAGCCACAGCTTCAAATCAGCCCCAGATTAAGAACTCCAAAGGACTAACACACTCGTCTTCAAACTTTTGTGTATAACATACAATCACAATTGGAAATGTTTATGCAAAAATAAACCAAAAAAAAATTGCATTCACACATCATCTTTTCATAAGAATGTATGTTCATGAACTTTGAAATCCCTCATATATATGGATTTCAATTTTTGGCATCAAAATAAGCTTGATCTTTAAAATCTGTTCACCATATCCTGAAGCCCATATCAGGGTTTGTGCTTTCGTTGGTTTGCAGTAAAGCCGAGCAATCCTTAATTTTCACAGATAATTTAAATTCAGGTAGGTCCACATATTTTGTAAGAACCACTGATCACTTAAAAGGGGAAGATGGGAACTAGCAAAACCACCTCCCCACCAAGAAGCAACTATCAAATCCAGACAATGGCCATTTCACTTGAATCTCTAAAGAGCACCTCAAGAAACGGAATGGGGGCCAGCTGCCTCCCAGATCACCCGTTCCGTCACGTGTTCACCCCTTCCTTCATTGGATCAATTTATGGCAAACCAGTAAGATGACAAAATGACATCCAGCTTTGGCCACAATGAAATATGAAGGTGAAGTTCCTGGGCCTGGGAAAGGCCTGGCTGCAGTACTGAGGTTGTAGCGCTGTGCTTTGCAGATGAAGAAATGAAGGAGGGAAGAGAAGACGTGCCTGCCCACACCGGCCATGCACTGGGAACACGAAGCCTGTTCTCCAAGCCTCCCATACGCCGCCCGTAAGCAGCCATTCCGCGAACAGTCATCCATTCATCGCACAGAATACGACGACTGCATCTCCTTCTCTGGCTAGGCAGACGGACAGGGAAAACTGAATCCACACACATGCCATCTTCAGACGATACATGCGTTATCCAAAATTACACATGGATTTTCATTTTTACACGGAAATAAACTTAATCTTTCAGTGCTATTTTTCGATGAAGTGCCCTCAAAACTGTAGGATATAAAACAGATTATTTTCTGTTTGTATTCTGCCTCCCTTTTTTTCTCTTCCTTTCAATCTCCCAAAGTGCAAGCCATCCAAAGCTCTTCGCACATCACACTCCTTTCCTCAGCACGCAAAGGAACAGAAGGATTCTCATCCTCCTTTTCCTTCAGACAAGAGTTGATGCTGAACCAAAGATATTCCAAAGTTTAGAACCTGCCAGGTACAGGATGTGGCCTATCCTAGTCTCCTCATACTGAGATCAAAATCAGCCTGATACCCTCTATCCCTAAATAGCTTGTAATTCCTAACAGACAGAAGCTGAAGAAGACAGCCCAGTTCCTAGCACAGAGGCCAAGGCTTTGAGTTTGCAGCTCAGGAGTTGAATCCATGCTCCAGCTCCTGGCCATGAGTGGAAAGACAGAACCTAAAGTCCTGATCTGTGTCAGGTGTTTTAAGGGTTCTGGTTTTGTTACACTCACGTACAGATAAAGGTAGACTGAGGCCAAGAGAAGTCAGAGCAGAAGAAAATGAGTGGAGCGGAACTGCAACCCATCACAACCCACCCAGGGATACACGACAAACACTTTTGGCCTCTGTCCTTTCATCCTTAAGTGACTGGTCACCCACTCAGTGACTACTGAACCCCTTAGGCCTCACGGTCGGAGGTGACTCCAGCCTGAAGAGCCCATGTGGAAGATCAAAAGATGGATGCCAACAGAGTTGAACACTAAAAAGCATACACAGTGTGCTGAAAAATGAACACTAACTGATGAGCAAGTTCCTAATATAGATCCAAATACAGTGCGAAAGATCTGGATTGTGTGAGAAAGATTTGGTCATGAAGCTGAGCTTGAAAATGCAAGCACAGAACACGGTATCTTGTCAGTGGGCACCGTGCCAGGCGCTTATCTAGTGAGATTGAAGAGTTGATGTTCCCCATGAATGCCGTTGGCCAAAACTTCTCAGCTAAGTTGGATAGATGCTAGTGTTCCCATCCTAGCCCCTTTCTAACCTTAGCTGATAGAGGTCTTTCCTGAGCTCACATCACACGAAAGTGATACAGTCGGAATCTGAAGCTAACATTCCTCACTGGGCTTCAACAGAATGCCCAACTTTTTCAGGTCTTTGATTGACAGATCTGCCATGCAGTGGGTGAACTCCAACATGGCCTCTACTAAGAACTGCAAGATATTTAACAGAAATGTATGAGGACTTAAACTGCATAGATACCATTTCATTTTGTTTTTCTATGCTAAATCCAGTCCAGACGTGAGAAAAGATAAGACTATTGAGCAGCTCTGCTCCTGGAAGTCCTCGGAGGCCCCCACTCCTCTCGCCACGTTGTTGTCCCTCTTGCATCGGCCTCCATCCTACAGCCTAAAGCAGCTGTATCTGTGGACCAGGCAGCAGGATGGCGGAGAACAGGAAGAGGAACAAAAAACATTTCAGAAAGCCTCCTGGAATTTGCAAGTTCATCAACTGAGACTTCGATGCATGGCCTCTTGCAGATGCGAGGGGCACAAATGGATATGCACCAAAGACTCTCAGGGATCCGTGCTGTTAAACCAAGAGTTCCTGTCCCAGACAAGACACAGACTCACAGTTGTATCTCCCAGGCTATGTAGTGAGCACTCACTCAGAGTCACTAATTCCTGGGCTTTCCCCGTGTTTATGAGTAAGTCTAGTTGGGAGCCTGTGGAGTTGGAGCCATTCCTAATCTTTACTGTACCCCGGCCCACTTTATACTCCCTTAAGTCTTCCCTTGTGTCTAAAATGAAAATGGAAGCTGGTTTTGCCTAGGGAACCAATCAGACATGAGGAGCCTGCTGCCTTTGTTTCCTAGAGAAACAGAAAGTTCCGATTCTCTGCAGGCTTCCTCATTTTGCCTCACTTCGCACACCAGATAAACATATTCCTGTCAGTGGGACCTGCTGGGAATCCTTTCAGCAAGTGATTTCCTTAAATGTGAATATCTCATGGCAACTGCACTTGGAGACTCAACCAACTGCTGTGTCCCTGGGAAGGCACTAAGACGAAGGCGTGAGCCACATACCTCCAGGAATGTGGGCTCAGGGAGAGAGAGAGACAGAGAGACAGAAACAGAGGAAGAGAGAGAAGCCCCACTCTAAATATACAAGGCATGAAAACTTACAACCAAGGTTCAGGGTGGGTGTCAGTCTGGGACATTCACAAAGGGGAAATTTGAGGATTCGGAGACTCTGGCGACCCTGACCTAGCAGGTTCCTTGGGAAAGGCAGGACACAGAGACGGGACATCAGCTGGGGAAAGGCAGAGCATGAGGAACCCAATCAAGGTGTTGGAGGCGATCAAATAGGGAAGATGGAGATGTGCACTAACGTGGACAGAGCAGCCCAGACATCAGGGTCGGTCAGGAAGAGAAGTCAGGTGCAGTTTTGTCCAGGAAGAGATGCGTGCAGAAGAAGAGGGCAGAGATGGACTCCAAGCAGATTACACTGGGCCTTGGTGTCCACACAGGTGTCTGGGCTGTAGATTGTGGGTCAGCAGCTGATATGGACAGGGGGACAGTTAAAAAAAGCCATGCTTAAAATTATATGTTCAGATTCTGCATTGACAATACAAACAGGAAGTTTGGAAGATAAAGAGATGTAAATGAGGTTGGCCTGAAGAAACAATCAGATGCTGCCATCTTATTATGTCACAATGAGTGGGGTATAAAGCAAGTGCTTTAACAACTCTGTGAGATTTCTATGGCCTTGAGTGGTCAGAACAACAGTAACACAGAAGACAGGAAAATGGGATCTTACACGATGCTGAGCCTCCGGCCAGCTCAAGAGAGGTGGGAGAAGATGAGATCTCCAGGCAGAATGGACACAGGTCCACCCAGAAGGGGCATGGAGCCAGTTCAAGGGAGTCTCAGGCTGGATGACTGGTCTTTGACAAGGAGGCTCCACAAATCTCTGAATGGTCACACTCAGTGAGTTATTTCTGGAATGATACAAAGCCCTAAAGGAGTAGAGCATATCCCCAGTAACTCTGGGTTCTTTTGCTGCTTCCAGGCCAGCTGGGCTGTCATGGGTGGCCTTAATCATTTGACTCAGCTCATGGAAGAGGACAAATCACTGCCACCAAGAGCTAGGACAATGTGTGGGGCTTCTCCACCAGAGATCTCAGTGAAGATGTAATTGTGCTGGGTCAGGAAGATCTCTCTGTGCCCTGAGATAGTTGTAGTTACCTCTCCTTCCAGCAGGGCGGCTGGCCAGGATTGGGTGTAGGTTGGATCCGGCTCCTCCAGCCTCACCATTTCAGGAAGATTAGCTTTGGCTGGATGACACTTTCCCTATCCACTGGATTGCAGCAAATTGCAAGGAGCTGTGCTTCCATGGAACCAAACTTTAACTAACTTACACATTATGACCTTCAAAAGCCTTGGGCATGCTACACAACTTACACCTGCTTCCTGCGTAGCTTGCTATCACACCTATCGTACCACGGTGGCTCACAAAATCTGGATGCAGTCCAGACAGTTGTCTTGCATTTCCCAGCAGCCACAGGATGAAGGGAAACATAGTCCCTCACAAAAATGAAGCTTTCCACCTAATCCCAGCCAAGCATTCGCTGACAAGTGCCCAGTTCCTGCTCTCTGAGGGGCAGAAGTTCCTCATGGCTGCTCTCACACAGAGACAGTGATAAGATCATCTTCCATATTTAAAGCTCCTCATAGCAGACTGAAGGCACAAAATTACAATACAACTTGGAAAAATTAGCTCCACACAGAATGCGATGATGCCCATGAGCAGTTCTATTCAACAGATGTCTCCCAAGAACTCCATTGCTCAGTTGCTCCATGGTGGGACTGGAGCCCCAGGCCAGGGATTCCATCACCCGAGTCTTGGGGTGAGAAGGGAGAGGCGAACAAACCCTGTGAGATGTTGCTGAGTCAGCACTCAGGAGCAGCTGGGGGCAGGTGGAAGGTCTTTCAGCATCCTGCTTGTCAGGGAAGGTTTTCATCTGCTCCAGAAAAAGCAACCCCTCTTGCATCCCCTGCCACATGGTGTTTCAGTCTGTTCAGTTTTCCTTCCTCCTTTTTCCATGGGCCCTGTGTTGTAAGAGCAACAGGTAGAAATAGGAACACAGAACTGCCCATTTCAGTTTTGAAAATTTATGGTCAAGAAAAGCTCACTGGAATGGAAACAAGATTTCCACAGGAAAACAAGAGCCCAGTCTGGGCGATGTTTTGAGCCGCCTCTGTGACTGCAATAACATCTGAAGCCTTCTTGTTGGCAGGTCAGTCCCGGACTATTCACAAGCCTCTTCGTGATGACGTAAGTCGGCTGTTTCCCTTGCCTATTTTGTTAGTCTTTGCTGTTTACAAAGAGAGTGGCCTTTCTCAAGAAATCTGGTAACTTACAATAAAAAAAAATTACTTTCCCAAATCATATACTTCCTTGTCAAGGAGGACTGCATTTCAGCTTTTGAGTATAAACTTGTGTTCTAATTCCTCAATAATAAAACGGAGATAAAAATTAATTTGCATGGTCAATATGAAGATTGAACAAAGTGGGAAAAAAACATGCTGGTAAGTGTTTTACGACAAATGCAATTCCTAAAACAGTGAAATTTTAAGTGGAAGTAAAGCTTCTGGAATATAATTTCACACTATGAAGAAAAACAATATAAAATATCCATTTTTGGCTCAGGCTTAAGAATTTAAACTAATAAAGTAACCTAAAATTTGAATCACATTTAAAGACATTCACTGACATTTTATAATAATATATTTGAAATGGCAGCACATTGAGATAATACTAAATATTCAATAGTACAGAAAGAGCTGAATGTTAAGATAAATCCACTTAATGATGTCATTTGCAACACTTAGGATGAATTTTAACAACTAAAGATTAGACTTTATAACAGCAGTTCCAATATCTAGAATTACAATACATTTTGATTTTAAAAAATGTTTTAAAAAAACCTGTGCATGCATCTAAAACATTTTGTATAACAATAAGCCCACCTTTTAATACTCTCTTCCTGTGAATTTTTTGAATTCTCCTCACATGTAACGCGATTTTAACTGACATATTTACAAATGCGGGAAGTGGGATACGTTTATAGAATCATTGACTCTGTGCTGTTTGAAATATCTCTTCTAATATGTAATTAAAGCTATGGATCCTTTCAAGTACACATATCAATATTTTTATAAATAAGGGTGCTGATGGAAGAGAATATTGGACATGTAGTAGTTAAGAACTCCTAAAGTTGATAAATGATGGTGATGATATGTTAGGTGATCAACTGGGTAGAAATAAACTTGTAGAGGATGGGTGGGTAGATAGATGGAAATGGAGAGTTATCAAAATCCTCACCTCTACTCCTGACGGTGAAAGTCTCAGAGCCCTGGCACACACTGTCTTTAGACATGGGGTGATGACCCCACTGCTCCTGCCCTTTTATCACAGACTGCCCTCAAGAAGTGTAACGAGAGATTTGGATGGGAAATGAGTTCATTCTCACATCTCCAGTTACTCTGGTACATTCAAGACTTCCCCAGAGAGCCAATGCTCTAGGGAGTGTGGCAGTTTTCATACCAGGCCATAAATGGTACCCTACAGCTGATGGCCATCTTCCCAGTTCCTCAAGGACCCACATGCCCAGGCTCCAGCTCAGAACTCACTTCTGTGTACAGTGCCATCACCCCGTTATATTCCCTGCCTTGCTGTGCGAACCCTGGTGCACACCCCAACAGCATTCCTTTGCCTTGAGCACTCAACTCTGCTACGGCTCAGTCCACCAGCAAATGTGCTGGAGCACCTGCTAAGTATGACCTGTTGGATGTTTTCTCAATTCATCTTGCAACAGCCAAATATAGCAGATCTGACATCCTCCAGTTTACACATTGAGCAACTGAGTCATGGAGATGGACTTACCTTTCTGAGGTCAGAACGTGGCCCCATAGCTCAGTTGGAACAGAAGCATCTGCAGAGCCATCCTGCCTGCAGGCAGGGCAGTTCCACTTAGTGTCACATAGGAGAACTCCGCTCCCTAGGGACAAGCGCCACCTGAGATCACATCATGCCCAGCTGCTGGGGACACATCCATGCAGATGGTCCTGCTCTGCCCTGGCCCCCAGTGACTTACCCTTTTCTCCTTGGAAAATTCCAGCTATCCGTTTCCACCATCTCTGCTTGTGCTTGCTGCCCGTTTGTGGGAGGGTCTCCTAGATAACAGAAGTTTGCCATTTTAATTAAATCCAGTTTATCTGTTTTTCATCTCATTGCTTACACTTTGGTTGTCATATCTAAGAAATCAATGCCTGAGCCAAATTGTGAAGATTTACTCCATGTTTTTTAGTAAAAGTTTTATCATTTCAGCTGTTACATTGAGATATATGACCCGTTTAAATGTAATTTTTTATGTGTGTAATGATAATATACTGTTTTTCCTTTTTAAGAAAAGCTAGAAGGATGCTTTTTGAATGTTTTCACCATAAGCAATGATAAATGTTTAAGAAGATGGTTGTTTTTCCCTCATTACTATTATTATACAATAAATACATGTATTAACATAGTATTGTTACACCATAACTGACTATGGGCTATTTCTTATGTGTCAGTTAAAAGGATTCAAGCTTCACTCTTATGCATGGACTATCCAGCTGTCCCGGGGCCATCAGTGGAAAAGACAGTTTTTTGCCCACTCTGAACCCTCCAGAATTCCTTGACCTTAATGAACGGGGGGCTTCATTGCTGGACTCCGTTACAGTCCGGTGATCTCTGTACCTGTCTTAATGCTAAGATCACATTGTCTTGATTAAGGAGGAGGAGCCATTGAAATCAACAAGAGGAGTTCTCCAAATGTATTCTTTTGTTTTCCAACATAATTCTGTGTGTTCTTACTTAACGTTAGGATTAACTTGTCCATTTCTGCAAGAAAAAAAAAGGTGCTGGGGAGGACTTGGATTGTTGAATCTGCTTATCAATTTGAAGAGGATCCCTTCCCAACAAACTTAAGTCATCTCTCCGTGAACATGATTTTTCATTGAGTAATGTGTTTGTTTTCCCTTTGTCAAGATACACTCAACAGTTTTACTGGGAGTCCATCTTTGATTTGGAAGTAGAGCTGCACACTGCATTGCATCATCACATCTGTGTGTGATGGTCTCTTCTGCACAGTTACTATAATCCCCTTGAAGGAAAAGTCATAAAAGCCACAAAGCCACATCAACAACAGAGACTAAATGACTGAGTAGTATTCCACAGAGTAGATGTGCCAGTTTCTTTAGCCTCTCCTCTTTGGGTGGGCCTCCGGTTGTTTGCATGTCTTTGCCATGGTAGATTGTGCTGCTGTAAGTAGAGGATTACAGATCCCTTTCTCAGGCAGGTCTCGTTTCCTTCGGCTAAGTTCCCCAAGTTGGGATAGCTGGGGCATGCTGCTGTCTTTCTAAATCACTTTCAATGGGGTTTTTCATTTTTTGCTTACTGTTTTTCACTTCTTTTCCTAAATTGATTCTGAAGTATCTTATTCTCACTAGTACTTTTGCTAACACATTTTGCTACTATTAGTACATAAAATGCAAATTGCTATTACTAATATAAAGAACACAACTGAGTCTTGAATAGTATGGAGCCTGCTTCTTAACAACTTTGCTGAAGAATTTATTCTAAATTATGAGCATTTTAGTGGATTCTTTGGGGTTTATTCTTTCGATGCCACCTCATTTGCAAAAAGATCGCCTTTCTGTTTTTAAGGGCCTGGGTGTTATGTGGACCTAGTCAGGTCTTTGAGGATAATCCCCCATTTTAAAGTCAGCTGATTAGTAACCTTAATTATACTCCCGGTGTCCATTCACAGGACTGATTAAATAAAAAGAGATAGGAATATGCAGACAACAACTTTAGAATTCTAACTGGTGTAAGTATTATATATCTGTGTAAGAACCTAGGCTTCAGACTCTTAAATATTTATTTTTAAAAAGTTTTTATTTGGGGCCTGAATTGTGCTGTAGCAAGGAAAGCTGCTGCCTACAGAACCAGCATCCTACATGGGCTCTGCTTCAAGTCCTGGATGCTCCACTTTCAAGCTAGCCTTCTGAGAATGTGCCTGGGAAAGCAGAAGATGACCACAATTTCTGGGCCCTTGTGCCTGGAAGAAGCTTCTGGCTCCTGGCTTCAGACCATCCCTGCTCCAGCCACTGTGGCCTCCCAAGGTAAACCAGCAGACGAAAAGAATCTCTCTGTCTCTCATTTTGTAATTCTGACTTTCAAATAAAAGAAATGAATTTTTCAAGTCTATTTATTTCTCTCAATGACAGAGTTACAAAGAAAGAGAGATTTTCCAACTGCTGGTTCACTTCAGTAGCCACAATGGCCAGGACTGGACCAGACTGAAGCCAAACAACAGAAATTCCCCCCAGGTCTCCCACACAGGAGCTGGGGACCGTGAGCTTGGAACATTTTTCACAGCCTTTCTGGGTACATTAGCAGGGAGCTGGCTCCAGTGTGGAGCTGCAGCAACCAGCATCTATGCCCATTTGGGATATCAGTGTCAGAGGTAGGGCTTGGCCCCACATGCTTGCATCTTCAAGCTGAAGTTAAATAACTTGATGATAACCTGCTCCTGCATGCTCTGTTTGTCGGCACTTATGCAAATGTTCATGATTATTTAGGAAAGGACCTTTGGGACAGTCCTGGATGGAGTGAGAAGCCACAGTGACGATGCCTATGAAGACCCTGAGCTTCACGTGGTAGACGTATGGCCATCATCAAAAATACTACCAGCCAGGCCCATAAAGGATTCTGAATATGCAGGTACCACTTGGGGGTCGGCCTCAAGCCTAGAGAAACGTGTCTGTGCTGTGACGCTGCAAGGTAATCACTGGGGCAGAGTCTAAGTTCAACAGCCTTGGGTTAAAAGCCTCCATGGCTTACCAGCTTTGTGACCCTTAGTCAGTCCCTAAAACGCCCCTTATCCAAAACATAGAGTTTGTATAGGGCCTATGATCTGCATGTGACGTGTGAGGCAGGTGTGCTTTTAACACAGAGCCAGAGCCCCGTCACTGCTGGCCCTCTTTTCTCAAGGTCCTTCCCCAGTAAGAGTGTGGGCAACATGGGAAATGTTACGATGGAGCTCATGGTGGAACAAAGAGAAAGGAAGATCTTCAATGTGATTGGTTCATTTGTAGGCAGTTTTAGGACATGGCAGAAAAGTCTCACTGGTTAAGGGTAAGAAAAACTTATAATTCCACACCCAAATGGAATTTGGTACAAATGGAAACTTCAGGAGGTTCCCTAAACCTTATTAAAACATATTAAAAAGGAAGCATTTGTAATGTTAAAGGCCAGGCCAGCTGTAATAAATCTACAGAAACTGCTTTGAAGTGAATCGTCTTAAACAAAAGCAATAGTCTTTGGTTCATACATTCAACAAGTATTTGTTAAATAGCTGTGTTGTTCCAGGACTGACGAAGGGACACAAAGACACAGCCTAACGCATGACCTCAGGCAGGTGACCATTTAATGGTAGGAATCAGTCAGCAGGTACATTTGATAGACTGCATCCGGCATGTTATAGAAACAAGGACCAAGGGCGCAGCAGGAGTGAATGGAGTCTAGGAAGATTTCTCAAAGATGCAGTATGGTGTGACGTAATGTTGACAGATCAGAAATTTCTGAGATAGACAAAGTCGAGGGTGTTCAATGCCTTGGCATTGACTGTATGCACTAAAAGGGTAACATGTGCCCTTCACACCACTGTTTTCTCATCTGTTAAGAGAAAATAGAATTTCCAACCTCATACTCATTTGTGAATGCGCAAGTATGCTGTAAACTGGAGTGTGCCAAGTCTACATGAGGCACTGCTGTTCACATTTGTCTCTCTGCACAGATACGCGCTATTTCAAGGGTGCAGTACATCCTTCCACCCTGTTAAACGCCAAGACCCCCATCCCCACGGAGGGGCAAGCCTGGAATCCACGGACAGGACTGGAAGAAGTGAGTAAGGGGGGAACCCTTGAACCATACGCATGCGGGGCATTTCCTAATCGGCCCTTCTTCCCCAAGGTAGCTCCTTGGAGGATGAGCAGGTCCAGCTCAGTGGACAAAGAGCCGCTGACTCACAGCACTGACAGCTCCACCACTCCAAAGAATAAGCATCTAGAAGGAAAGAGAACGCCCACTTGTGGAAAATGTGCCATGAGTCAGGCAGGAAGCTAACGACTTTTGCAGGCCTCTCATCCAATGCTTACTTATTCTTGAGAACAGAAATCTGAACTCCAATCTGATAACACTAACATTTCACACGGATGCTCAGACCAGCACTGCCAACTGCCTGTTGTGTGCAAATAAGTCAGTTACACGATTTCTCCCCGTTGACGGCATGGGGAGAAGTCTCACCATGCGTCTTTCCAAAGGCTGTTTATGAAAATATCTGTTTAGCTGATTAATATCTCATAAAATATTCTAAGCAGATATAAGAAGAAATTTTTAGTTTTAATAAAGTGCCTGCTCATGTTTGACTTTCTTAAGGAAGAAATGCATAAAATACTGATTAATAAATTCTCCCAGGATCACAGGGTCATTAATTACAACATTTTGATGCATTTTATGTCAGTATCTTATTTTTTATGGATTTTAGTTTTTAATTAAATATTTTAGGCATAATTTTGAGATAATATATATGTTAACTTATGTTTTAGTCAGTCTTAATGTCCCACTGAATGAAGAATTTCACAAATCCATCCATCCTTCACACAGGAGGATTTTTTCACACTGGGCTCTGGCTATAAAATAGTTCCCTATGTGACACACTAGAATTCACAGGTGTCATTTTTATAGATGTATCATACACCTCTACATGATTTCTTTTATTATTTTACTTAATCATAGAGTGAAAACATTTTAAAGACCGGCACATACTGTGAAATTTTCCTTCTGAAAATTCCTCTCAGTTTACCCTCTCAGAAGCCCCATATGGGACTACCCACCTCATAGGACTCCCCTCCAAACCAACTGTTACTTTTTTAAAAATCACTGTTAATTTCCTTTTTGAAGATGTATTTATTTTCACTTGAAAGGCAGAGTTATGGGGTAGTAGGTGTGGGGAGGGAGAGACAGAGAGAAATCCTCCATCCACTGGTTCACCGTCCCCCAAATGGCCGCAACAACAGAACGAAGCCAATCCAAAGCTGGGAGCCAGGAGGTTCTTCTGGGTCTCCCATGTGAATGAATGGGCCCAAGGCCATGGGCTATCTTCCACTGCTTTCCCAGGTCACAAGCAGGGAGCTAGACCAGAAGTAGAGCAACCCAGACTAGAATCAGTGCCCATAAGGGATGCCAGCACCTCAGGTGAGGACCAGCTTGCTCTGCCACTACACTGGCTCCAATATCTTTTCTTGCACCACACTCCTTAGTACATATGAATAGACTCTTGAATACTTGCAATATTTCTTGTGTATGATTCATTCACACTGGTATTCCATCAAAGTTTTTCTGTGAACACTGGCAATGCCTTCATCTGTTTTGTGCTACAACAGAATAAGTGGCCCTGAGTACTGAGGTCTACAGCTCACAGTCCTGAAGGCCAAGCTGAGAACACGAGTTGACATCTGGTTTGGGCTTTTCTGTGGCCTCAAGCCACAGCAGATGCTATCACAGGGTAGAAGGCTAACCCCACCTCCCAGCCTCTATAACAAACCCACTCCCCTGGGAATGAATTCACCACCATCAAACATTAATTCATTCCTGAGGGTGGCGTCCTCATGGCCTAGTTACCTCTTGAAGCCTCACCACTTCTCCTGGCAGACACTTGACCCAATGGCTAAGATGCACTCACACCACAGGGGCGCACCTGTGCTTGATCCCAGCCCTGGCTCTGGCTTCCTCCCAGTGTAAATTCTTGAAGAAAGTAGTAACAGCTCAAGCTATCGTGTCTCTTCCACTTAGGTGAGCCACCAGGGTTGGATTTCTCGCTCTGTTTCAGCCCAGCTCAGCCAGCAGACAAGACACCACTGGATGAGAGTCTGTATGCATGTCTCTCTCCCTGTTTCTTAAAGGAAACAAACAACTTAAAGTTCCTACCTCTTAACACTGTTAAAATGCCAACTCAGTTTCAACATGACTTTGGAAAGGACAAACATTTAAACTCTAGGATACAAGAAAAGAAAAGTACAGGGACCAGTGCATTGGCTCAGCTGACTAACCCTCCACCTATGTAGTACTGGTTTGTGTTCTCCACTTCTGATCCAGCTCCCTGCTTATGGCCTGGATAAAGCAGAGGAGGATAGCTCAAAGCCTTAGGGAGTGTACAAAACCTGGAAAAGGCTTCTGGCTTCAGATCAGCTCAGCTCTGGCCTTGCAGCCATGTGAGTAGTGAACCAGCAGATGAAGGATATTTCTGTCTCTCCCTCTCTCTGTAAATCTGCTTTTCCAATGAAAAACAAATAAATCTTGAAAAAAAAAAAAAAAGAAAGCACAAATTGTGCTAAGCAATGCCACTTACACAGAAGGCATTTCAAGTTCATAGAGATTGAGAGAAGATGACAAAGGATGGCAATTCAACAGATATTCAATTCTAGCCACCAAGCTAAACACTTCATTTAAGAAATGTCTCCAGGTACCTGCCAGGATCAGACCCTATACATACTCTGTGGGACAGCTAAGCAGAAAGTCCCTGCTCTCATGAAACATGAGACACATGCAAATGAAAAATTGATGGGCAACATGGCAGGTGATATGAGCTTGGGAAACACAATGAAAACAGAGTAAAATAGACCAAGGAAAGACATTCTCAATAGAGATTAGACTGAGTGAATGAATGGCTCTTCAGCCTTGACACAACCTGATCAAATGAACATCACCTGCAATACACTGCTTTCAGTCTTATGAGCTCTGGGCCTTTTATCTGAACCTCCCCTGTCTTCCCTGTCTCTGTGGTACTACATGGAGAGCTCAGGGCAGTCAAGGGACATCTCTCTAAAGAGACAGATTATGTTAGCCCTAGCCACTGCTCCTTTGTACATGAGGCTCTCAACAGAAATTAGAGAAACAGGTAAACAAACTGCCAATCACCTGCTCTCAACCATGGAAGATGAACAGCCGTTGGTAGATGATCTACTCCTGCCCCCAGTTCAACTTCCGTTCACATGGAAACTTGCCTTCAGCTCCACCTTCAAAGTTCTCCCACTCTCTAATTTGCTCTATCACCAGAACCTACAGATGGGGTACCACCACAGGCACTGCTCTGTCACTTAGCACAGGCGAATAAAGCATGGTCAGAGGACACAGGATTTCACAGGGGTTGGACCAGCGGCTGGCCTGGTGGCACAGGAGGAGAAAATGAATGGTCATCTCACAAACCAACCCCTGCTTTCCCTAGACAGTACTAACACTCCCTTTTCACAGGTAGGGCGCTTTCCTCTCTTATTTTGTGTGCCTTCTCACAGGTTGTGTATGTCTGATCCAAAAATCTAAAATATGAAAAACTCTGATATCTACAACTTTTTGAGTACCCAATTAATACTCAATATTTCGAATTTTGAAGCTTTTTGGATTAGGAATACTCTACCATAAAATCTATCTAAATATTTCAAAATCTCTAAATCTTAAGCGCTTTTGGGTCCAAGTATTTCATACAAAGGGCATTCAACTTGATCTGGTTTTGTAGCTGATGACAATTTTTTTAGAAATTCCTCACCTTAGCTAGGTCATTTTGCACTGAAACTAGGGTAAAAATGAAATCACATGACCAAAAGGATGGGGAGACCAAGACAGAAACAGGCTTATAAATTAAGCAAGAACTTTGTCTTCATTCAGGTAAATCAGGGATTTTGCTTTGTAGTCAATGTTTGGGAAAGACAATCACATTTTCATGGCAGGTGTATTATATTTTGCTCTTGCCGTTTCTATACAGTTATGTTGAGATTAAATTACCTGTGACATGAACAGAGTGCAGTTCTTATCTACACTCCTTAGCCTGGTTACAATGACCTTACTCTAAAGTACTGGTCACCCTTCTAGTTAACCTCCCGCATACCGTGTTTTGTGCTCAGTGCCACATGCACGGCCATGTGTCAGTGCTCACAGCCTAATGGAGGAAGCAGAGACCCAGACTGGCTGTGCGAGGGAAGAGGTGAGCCCGGGGAGCAAGGAGCCAAGGGCTGCCTGGCTGAGTGTGGCCCACTGCAGCTTCCGGAGCAAACAAGGATCAGCAAGGTCTTTCCCATACCTAGCAGGTTGCATTGCCATCAGTGATTCTCCACACAAAAACAGTTTGATTGACATGTAACAGTCATCCATATTTATGGGGGAGTTTGGCTCCAATGGAGATGCTTAGGAAAGCTCTGCAGGTGTGTGGTTGATGGGACTAGAGGAGTGCCACTTACATCTTTTTAGCTAGAAGATGAGAATGCTAAGCATGATGTGAGTCTACAATATAGACTTACCCAGGTACAAAGCTTAATTTGTTATGCCAGGATTAAAAACCCTGTGGGATAATGCCCCTGTAATGGTGCAGATCTGAGGCTTCCTGTAGGGTCCAAGCACCCGTAACTCCTTGTTAACTTGGCTGCAACTACCTTAAAGGCACTCAGAAACATTTAGGTGATAGAAAACAGTAGTCGTCCAGGAGAAAAAGCGGAAACACCCCTGAGCCAACATCCTACACTATCAGAGGGGAGACACCCAAAGACCCTCGTGGGGAAAATCCAGAAGACTCAAAACATGAATCTGGCTGCCAAAGCATAAGGTGCTTGTCAGAGCACCGATGAAGCCCTGTCTGAAGACCCTGAGTGTGCAGGCCCGCCTAAGATGAGACCATGGAGAACCCTTTCTGTCCCTGTGACCAGGCCAGCAATGGAGGGAGAGGCAGGAGCGATGAGAGAGCCACCGTGTGCATCAGACACAGGCAGGAATGAAAGTTGTGAGGGTCGTAGGAACATTAACTGGTTCCTCCAGTCCCCCACAAGCTAACTCTGGAGTCATTAGAAATTGATGAGGCAGGGCCCAGCACAGTAGCCTAGCAGCTAAAGTCCTCACCTTGCACATGCCATATGTGCCAGTTCTTATTCTAGCAGCCCCACTTCCTATCCAGCTCCCTGCGTGTAGTCTGGGAAAGCTATCAAAAATGGTCCAAAGCCTTGGGACCCTGTGCTCACGTGGAAGACCTGGAAGAGGCTCCTGGCTCCTTGCTTCTGATCAGCTCAGCTCTGGCCATTGCAGACACTTGGGGAGTGAATCAGTGAATGGAAGATTTTCTTCTCTGTCTCTCCTACTCTCTGTATATCTGACTTTGCAATAAAAACAAATAAGTCTCAACAAAAATTGGTGAGGCAATGAAAAAATATAACCACATTTAAAAGTCGAGTCCTAATGCCCAGCTCTTGACCCATTTGAGGAGGAGGAAAATGGCTACGACCTTCCCGGGTGTGAGCACAGCCCTGTGGCCGATGGGAGACAGCAGTGGCCGACCTCCATCCACGGCCAGCTCAGCTTAGTGCAGAGCCACCCGAGGACTTCAGGGTGGACCTGGGCTCAAAGGCTTTCAGAGAAAATGGAGAGCTTTCTCCCCACGGGTCTTCCGGTTACACAGCCCTTCGCACTGCTCTGGGTTTTTAATAATGACACTTAGAATTAGTGCAACTGTGTCTGTGACCCGCCCATCATGTGTGCAATCAGATTTGGCTCAAATCCATCTCAAAGATGAGACAACTCGAGCCAACCTCCAGTGGAGACAGAATCCCACTTCAGACAGACATGGGGAACTGGACTCTGACCTGATTGCTTGGTCACTTCCACATACCTTATCAGGATCAAGGACTTTATAAAATTGTGGAAGAATGGAACTAAAAGACAAGTATCTTTTGATGCCAAAACAAACAAAATCTATGCATCTGTAGAGATTCCAATAAATTCATGCCAAATGCTTACTGTGGGAAAAAAAAACTGTATATGAGCTTCAACATTTTGCACCAAAATAAGCATCTTTATCTTTCTAAAGATTTATCTATTTTTATTGAACAGACAGGTCAGATTTATGAAGAGAAGGAGAGACAGAGAGAAAGATCTTCCAGCCACTGGTTCACTCCCTAAATGACCACAATGGCTAGAGTTCAGCTGATCCAAAGCCAGGAGCCAGGGGCTTTTTCCAGTTCTCCCACGCAGGTGCAGGGTCCCAAAGCTTTGGGCTGTCCTCTGCTGCTTTCCCAGGCCACAGGCGGGAGCTGGATGGGAAGTAGAGCAGCAGGACATAAACTGGTGCCCACATGGGATCCCACTGCTTGCAGGGTGAAGATCTAGCCATTAAGCTCTCATGCTGAGCCCCAAAATAAACATCTTTTAATTCAGCTTTCCATGAGCTTTCTGAAGTAGCCTGTTTTACTAATCTCCAAAACAAGCCAATGAGGTAAACTGCCTGAGTAGGCTCCCTGTTTACAAAGGTGGGGGACCTGAAACTCCATCTGCCTACTGCCTTTCCCAGAGATGCACAGCAGTGAGAGGCTGAGCTGCATCCCAATCCCAGGGGTCTAACAAGGAATAGCAGGTGGGGCGCTGCACCCTCCCTCAGCAGTGGTGCACACACATGCTTAAAGGTAGTAACTGTTGGCCAACCATGTAATAGGGCTGCGTGTAAGAAGGGTGAGCCCAGAACTGGGGTCTCTATTTTGAGAATGAACCCCCAAGATGATGAGAATGGCTGGACACTAGATGGGGTATTGGCTCAATGTAAGAGCTAACAATTCCACCTTGTCTCCCACAGGTCAACAAACCTATTTCCAAGGACACCAGAAACCATCCCATAAAAGGTAAGAATCATGAGCGTGGGAACATTTACGTTCTAAGGAGATCACCTTCTAATTTTGTTTACAGTCTGAGTCACCTAACAGAAGGGGTCCTACTGAACTACCCTTCCGAAAACAGGCTGACACCTTCAGACAGAAGCACACGTCTTACACCTTAGAGCGCATGGAACTATGCCAGCTCTGTGGGCACATGCCTAGCAATGTCACAACAGGAAGCCAACTTCAAAATGTAGATTAATTAATATGACAACGAATTCTAACACTTTGGGCAAGACAAACTCAGTTTGAAAATGAAAAGATAGAAATGAGCTGAAAGCAGATAATCAGCTTCACTCGCACTGGAAACATGACTAGAAGCGAGCAAACAGCACCGAACTGGCCCGTGTCTGCCAACGGCCTCTCTGGTCGTGCCTCCCCACACCCTCACCTCTACTTACAATGTGCATTAACCGGCCCGTGCCTCCCCACACCCTCACCTCTACTTACAATGTGCATTAACCGGCCCGTGTCTCCCCACACCCTCACCTCTACTTACAATGTGCATTAACCGGCCCGTGCCTTCCCACACCCTCACCTCTACTTACAATGTGCTTTTGGAAAAGACGACAATGATACCCACTTCCCAAAGTTGGAACACATCAACCTCACCTTTATGTGGTCACTGCTATGTTCCGTATCTCACCAACACCACGTTTTCTTTAAAGAGGAAATACAGCAGCTCCCACCAGCACACAAGAGACACATGCCAATTAGGATCATTTCAGGAAGTCCCTTCAGAGGAACTATTTACTGAGATGGGTGGAGTGTAGAGGAAGAATGGAGGGGGTGCAGGAGCCACAGCTCACTGTAATGGTGCTGTCACTATCCCTGAGCCCAAAGCCACAGGAAAGTACCACCTCAATACAGTAGCAACCTAGGTCATGGGCCCTCCCAGCACAAAAGCCAAGGGGCAACATATTCCACCTCTCTGTCTAAATGCCCTCAGCCCTCCTGCTGGGGCTTGGATCCAATCAGAAAAGAGCGGTCACTGCATTGGTCACTGTCTCAGAGGAAGGGCGTAGTGGGGCATGGTGACACTGCCTGGGAGAACTGTACCCCATACCAGGAGCGCCCACTCTTGAGTGCCAGCTCCTCCACCTACAACTCTAGTTTCCTGCCAATGAGCGTGCTTGTAGACAGCAGGCGATGGCTCCAGTACGCATGTCTCTACCACTCATGTGGGAGACCTGCATCGAGTTTCAGGCTCCTGGCTTTGAGCCGGCCCAGCCCCGGCTGCTGCAGACACTGGTGAGTAAACCGGCAGACAGAAGATGTCTTCCTCCCTTTCTCACTCTTATTATAACTCTTATTAACATAATCAGAATGGATTTCACTTACTTAATAGATGCAATTCTAAGATGATAACCGCTCTGCCCTCCCTACCCCTTCAATACTCTCCCCTTCCTTCCTTTTTTCACATTTAATTTTTGCAAAAACATAATTTCACTTTATAATTATAAACATGACTTCATGGGCTTAATGCATCCTTAACCACATGTTCACCGAGTGAAAAGACAGAGCACTGTTTCAAAGATTCAGGCGAGGAGTGAAAGCGACCATCGAATCCTAAATGTCAGTTTCTGATTTCACTAAGCGGAATGTCTCTAATAAATGAAAAGGAACCAGCAAAGGTGGATTTTTCAGGGGTTTTGTTTTAATAAAAAGAAGGCAATGGAGAGGATCCCTGGCAGGGAAAGCAGGGGGCGGGTGGACAAAACAAAGGGAGGAGCTGGGCCCTGCCACGCCCAGCTCTGGGACAGGATGTAAGCGCCTGCCCTCCTGTGTCATGGTTAGAGAAGACAGACAGAGCAGTGAGTGCTAGCTGCGGTCTCAAAGGTAGAGGGTGCTGCCTGCAGTGTGCCAGCACAGGTAGAGGGTGCCACCTGCAGTGTGCCAGCACAGGTAGAGGGTGCCACCTGCAGTGCCAGCACAGGTAGAGGGTGCCACCTGCAGTGCCAGCACAGGTAGAGGGTGCCACCTGCAGTGTGCCAGCACAGGTAGAGGGTGCCACCTGCAGTGTGCCAGCACAGGTAGAGGGTGCTGCCTGCAGTGTGCCAGCACAGGTAGAGGGTGCCACCTGCAGTGTGCCAGCACAGGTAGAGGGTGCCACCTGCAGTGTGCCAGCACAGGTAGAGGGTGCCACCTGCAGTGTGCCAGCACAGGTAGAGGGTGCCGCCTGCAGTGTGCCAGCACAGGTAGAGGGTGCCACCTGCAGTGTGCCAGCACAGGTAGAGGGTGCCGCCTGCAGTGTGCCAGCACAGGTAGAGGGTGCCGCCTGCAGTGTGCCAGCACAGGTAGAGGGTGCCGCCTGCTGTGGGAAGAGCATCGGGCGCTCTCCCTTACCCATCCATACCCTTTGCAGTCTCTCAGATTCCACCTGTCTCACTCAAGGACAGCCACTTTGCTAACCTTTCCTCTGCAATACTTACACCCAGTGACAGTTTCAGAAGCCCCAGAACTTGATTTCTGTTCTTAGAAATCCACAGCGCATGTGTAAAGCAAGCCTTCCTGTCTTCCTGGCAGAGATGGGTGCACAAACTCCAGGGCCTCTAGTGCCACAGGTGTGCATCCGGGGTGTCCCTGAGGAGGGGCCAGCACAGACAGTCGTAGGCCGCTCCTCTGTCAGCTCCCTGTGGACACCCTCCCTTCAGCCACTACTCCACACGTCAGCCTGTCTGCTAGCCAGCTGTGCCTATGGCTTTACTTTGCCTCTGTTCACGAGGACAGTTAACAGAGCAGACTTGAACAGCAAAACAGAAGAGACTAAAAAAAAAAATCATGGAGAACATCCAGGTAGAGAATAATGATAAAGATAAAAGTTAGGGTCCTCAAAATTCTACTGAAATCAAACCATAGCTGGCCTCTGAGCTTCCTGGTCACCTAAGCAAAAAGAGATGCAATCTCCTGTATGTGACATTAATTTGTGACAACAACAAGAAAAGGCAAACCGATTCCCCAGAAAAAGCAATAGAAACAGCGCACCGACCTGAGGTAGCAGCTGTCTGCTTCGCAGGAGACGCACGAACACCAGGCGGAGGGCAGAGGGAGTGCTGTTGGACCAAGGCTCACGGGGCCAGGCACCTGCTGGAAAACTTCCTCAAGAGCTGCTTTCTTCCCAGCTTCTCCTGTTCCACTGCCCTCCAGGGCGCACAGGAAGCTAGGAGAGAAACTAACACGAATGCCCCATTTTAGGATCAGGCATCTTGCTGGAAAATGCTGGGATGATTTATGTGTTTATTCCCAGTCTGTATTTCTGATGCAAACACATTCTCAGATCATTTATTCACTCTCCCAAAATGTCGTAGGAAAAACATATTGGTTGGTTGAGCAACAGTAGAGCTTTCTGGTGATATTTTTCATCAAGTTGGGCAATTATAGATTTATGTTAATGTGCATTTCATGTCATCTCTCTTGCAATCATCTTCTGACATTATCTGGAAACCATCAGCTTTCAAGAGCTTATCTTCCCTGAAGCCTGACATGTGTTTTTTTCCTTAGAAATGGGTAAAAGTTTACTGAGAGGCAAAGTATTTCCAGTGCTGGTCGTTTATGGTGAAGCGCTAGCAGTAAGCAGAGCTCCGAAGGCACCTGTGTGCAGGCAGGGACCCCGTGACTCCTGCCCCCACGGCTTCTCCTGCCTGCAGAGCCAGAGCTGACGCCCACGGGGCTGACACCCATGGGAGTTGACGCCCACGGGGGCTGACACCCACGGGAGCTGACACCCACGGGAGCTGACACCCACGGGGGCTGACACCCACGGGAGCTGACACCCACGGGAGCTGACACCCACGGGAGCTGACGCCCACGGGAACTGACGCCCACAGGAGCTGACACCCACGGGCACTGACACCCACGGGGCTGACACCCACGGGGACTGACACCCACGGGGCTGACACCCACGGGGACTGACGCCCACGGGGACTGACACCCACGGGAGCTGACGCCCACGGGAGCTGACACCCACGGGGACTGACGCCCACGGGGACTGACACCCACGGGAGCTGACGCCCACGGGAGCTGACACCCACGGGGACTGACGCCCACGGGGACTGACACCCACAGGGACTGACACCCACGGGAGCTGACACCCATGGGGACTGACACCCACGGGGACTGACACCCACGGGACTGACACCCATGGGAGCTGACACCCACGGGAGCTGACACCCACGGGAACTGACGCCCACGGGAGCTGACACCCACGGGGGCTGACACCCACAGGGACTGACGAGCGTGGCTCTCCGTCACAGAGGAGACCCCAGCCCAAACCCCACATCAGCCATGCCACGCAAATCAAGGCATCTACAAAAAGGGCGTGGGTCATGTAAAAGAAAGAGGAAAGGAAAGAGAAAGAGAGGGAGAGAGAGAGGGAGGGAGGAAAAAGGAGAGAGGGAGAGAGAGAGAGAAGGGAGAAAATTACACACAAGCAACTGAGAGTCTGATTTAAAAAAAGAAAAAAGAGGCAAAGATTTCCACAAAATGCCATGAAAGGACCTTAATATTAGTGGGCTTTCAGAGGAATTTGGGGGATTGAGAATCAAGTCTGGAGTTGCCTAAGCAGGCTCAGCCACTGAGTCATCCACGAGTGGTCGGAATCTAGACCCGAAACAGCTTATTCAACTTTAGCAATGTCCCGGTCTTGCTAGTGTCCAACATTCAATCCACCCGCTGGTGGCAGCTGTGCAGTGTGAGACCAAGACCCGCGCTGGTAGATGAGACTGTCCCCTAGTGGCAGAAAACGGCAAGACGGCACCAGACCTTAAAGACAGCGCACCCTGGGTTACAGTTGATCAGGACAAATTTCATAGAGTTTTAGATCTAAACTTATTTCAGCCATAACTCGTGCATCACACATGACAAAGGCAAAGTTTGTAATTCATTCCATAATCTTTGTAAAATCATTCTTTAATGAGACTTCAGGGCAATTCATTGTCATCACGGCCACACAGAGAAAATGATGACAC